TTCACGCTGTAACGGCCGCGCGCACGGCGCGAAGCGAGAGCAACACACAGACAGACACACAGAAGAGAGCGGAACCGAGAGGGACGGGGCGCGTCCGCGAGATCTATCCGTCCTCCCGGGGCTGCTGTCGCGCGACACCGTCGGAGCGAACGAATGAGCGCGATGTCGCGAGGCGAATGATCGAATCGTACGCGCGCGAGTCGCGAGTCGCGTCGCGTCGATGTCGTCGGGCGTACAGAGGAGATTTGAATCGTTGGGCTAACTAGACCAAGCATTACCCGCATTCCGCCATGGTTGGATCCCTTCAGGGTGAAGACGGGTGCACACATCGTCCGTGGAAGCTTTCGCTTCTTTCCTTTGCTCCGATCGAACGCGGACGGGGATCAACGGTTTCGCGGGACGCTGGAAGAGAAAGGCCGGCGGGCCGTTTCGCGTTCAAGCGGACTGGGGATGGAGCGAACGATCTCGCTCGGACGAGAGTTTAGAGACTTCCAGAGGTTCGCGCGAACGACTGGCGCAGTGGTTCCCAAAGGTGAATGGCAGGTGAACTGGCGAACCGGAGAGACGAGTCAGTAGGAGCTTGTGAAAGATCATTGATTGCCTAGTCCCTGCTGTACGAAAGGGTTTTCATATGGAAAATAATTTTCGAGGAAATCCCGTTTCTCTGTTTATAACGTTGGCACTGGTAATATCCCCGTAACGTAAAAAGAATATAACCACCATACTTTGAAACTTTTGCCTGATGTTTTTCTATCATACTTGTTAAGTTACCGAGTTTCGTGAAAACGTTCGTTTGGCTGCACGTGAATCGGTCGCGGAGGTTTTGCAAGAGGTTTACGACACGGTGTCGAGTCTGTGGAGGAAATAGACCGATGGTATTTGTTTCTTGCAGTGAAACGCGCCGCGAGTGAGAGAGTTTGGGAACCACTGGTCCAGCGGAAGCGAGAAGCGATGGTTCGCGACCGAACGAGGAACTGCGGAGGAGACGTTCGGCTTGTGGGTGCGGGCGCGGTTAGTACGGGTCTGAAAAGTCACGGGCAAAACTCAAGGCCTCACCCTAAAAAGCAAACCACGGCGGGTTCGGTTAGAAAAGCGAGACAGGAACCAAGGTTGCCAATATGCATTTTCTATAGGAGCCATGTATCATCTATACATAATAACGTTCACACGCGTGTACACGCGGAGAGCAACAGACAGAGATGAATACACAGATGTAGACAGTAGAAGAAAGAATAGAGGTAAAGAGACATACGTACAAGTACAGAAAAAAAACGCATCTACGTTCAGCTACTGACAAAAGTGGAAAGAAACGCGGAGGTCCGTCGTCGTAGATTCGTTCTACGTCTCATGCAAGAAAGTTTCCCTCTCTCGGCGTCGGGAGAGCATCACCCTCGACCTCTACTCGCGGAGAAAGACAAACGCACGCACGCACGCACGCACGCATACGCGGACGCACACCGCGGTATAGCTTTCGTATCCTTTTCTCTTTCCTCTCCTTTCCTTTTTCCCCCATTGAGGCTCGTTTGCTGCTTCTCGGCTTCGGAACGCGACGTATTTCTCACGGAGACATTCCAAGACTGTGTGTGAGTGTGTGTGTATGTGTGCGTGGTGCCAGAGAATTCGGTTGCGGTGCGGTAAATCGTCAAGCGTCATACACGTTCAAAAAGGGAAACACAGGTTCTCGCCACTAAAAAGAGATGCGTCGGGTCGGGGTACGTGCATCGCGACACTTACCTGAGCGTGACTCGCAAACGCGCTCGTCTCGGTTCTTCGGGTTCGTTCCGTTTCACGACGCCGCGGGATTTCGCCCCTTCGATCCCCGAAACGATGGACAGTACAGAGATAGAGAGAAAGAGAGAGAGAAAGAGAGAGGACAGACGAGAAAGAAAGTTGGCAACAAAGCGACGAAAATCAAGCTAGCGCGTCGGGGACGATCGTTCGCGACGATCCGAGAAACAGGAGAGAAACAGAGTCAAAGGAGAGACGAGCGTCGACCGATCCGGAAGATCTAGAGATACGAGAGTGCGCGGAGGAAGCGGAGGAGATCGAATCGAGAGCTTCGGGAGCTCGGAATCTCGCCCGATCGGAGGAGCGAGGGATCGATCCGGCGCGGACGGCGACAACGGGGAGACGCCGATCGGATCGACGGCGGACACGAGAACTCGGATCGGAAGAAGATGGCGGACGGGCCGCGAAAACGAAATTAGGAATCCTTTTTCGGCGGTGCTGGCCGGATTTATTGATCCGCCGGCGGCGGCGTCGTCCGTGGACACGATGGTGGGGTTTTCCAGGAATGGAGCAAAGGTTCCAGGGATGCAGCGCCTCGGGTGCATCGATCCGGGAACAGGTAACACCGGTGCTCCTTCCGGCCGAGGCTGGGACTCCCGTTCTTTCGTTTCTCTCGAAACCGGCCGGAACACTCTCGTCTCGGATCGGCTCGAGCGCGGTCCGATTCCGCGAACCTCCCGGAAACTCAACGATTCGACGAACTCGAGACGACACTTCGAATCGGCAAGACGTTACTTCGTGGTGACCGGTATTCGTGAAGCCTTGAGATACTTCAATCGCACGTTTCTTCCTTCGACGAAGTTCGAGATGAAGTGTCTCGAGGTTTCATGATCGGTCACGAGGATGTAAGATTTACCGATCTTTTGGGAACTTAGGCTCGTGGAATCGAGTCGCGTCCGAAGCGATCCGAGAGTAACAGGGCTCCAGTAGTCCGGTCGACGACGGCGCGTACGAGCGCGACACTCCGAGAGCGTTTCAGAGCGCGTGTATACAGAAGCGAAACAAAAAGGTCTTTGCCGTGGGCCAAACGAGTTGTTGCCGTGGTCGGTGCATTGCGATAATAATATAGTACAGAAGCGTGTATATATATAGATACATATGTATATCACTGGAGGATGCAGTAAAGAAATATCGTAAATATACAGAGTCGACAACGAATAGAAAAATGGCGAAATCATTCGACGGCGTTCCTCGTCTTTTCCGCTTGCGTTCGCGTTTCGGCGCGTTCCGCCTGTTCCGCGCCGCTGGAACCGGCGCGGCGCAGTCCCGAGAGCTTCGGATTGGTTCGAATGACCGGAAACGATCGCGTTCGTTTAACCTTTAACCCTTTGCACTCCGTAGGCTCCTCTCAGTCGACATTCGATTTGGCACAGAAAAATTATAGAGTATATTTAATGTCAAGTTTCGTGTGATGCATTGATATGGGAAATATTAAAATAAAACAGCCTCTTTCTTCGATTTATGTACGATTTCTCGTGAAGCCAGTTTCAAGGAATGTTAACTGTATTTTATTGCAAAGTGTTGGGCATTTTTGGTAGAAAACTCTTGGAGTGCAAGGGGTTAACTACCCTCGCTGTATTCTGTACATGCATGACAGTACATATATTGTATCGAGACGAGAAAATACGTCTTGATGAATTAGTAGAATATAATATAATATTCATTAGGAACATAACCATAAACGAATAGCATAATCGATGTATCTTTACACCAGCGCGGGTTAACACTAAAACTTCCATTCCTGATTCGTCATTTCGCTTAGTAAAAAGATACTCCCATACGTTTCTCTGAGAAATCATTGAATCGATCGAACGATACGCAATCTGAATTATAAATGTAAGGACAGCGCTTCTAGTTTCCATAGAGGAACTGAAAGGTCAACGTAGCTCGGTAGCGTTAGTGTTAAAGGTTAAAGAAGAGAACTCTAGAGTGACCACAGTAGCGGAGTCATCGACGAAGCTCGGGACTGCACCGTGAAGGTTCGGGGATGTACTGTTCCGACGATGATCGCGTGCTGAAATGATCGCGAGGGAGAGGCGTCCCCTATTCGTCGGTCTCCGATTTATCGTTCGAACGCGCGATCGAGATCGGATCGTGATCGGATCGTCGAGACACTCACCTCGCCAGCTGACTTTGATCGGACACGTGATTGTCTGGTTTTTAATGAGGTACGCGTTCAGCGACGTCAGGCTCGGGCTCTTCCTCAGCGTTCCCTCGTCGTTCTTCCACACGTACGTGATCGCCGATTGCTCGTACGATACTGTCGGCAATCATCGATCGGTTAATTACAGAGGCGCGCCTCCCGTCGACCGGGCGACGCACGGACAACGAATCGGCGAGCTAACGGAGGAAACGTCAAGCTCGTCGATACGCGCGCTCACTTACTGCTCTCGATCGCGAATGAACACAGTGGGTCGTCGAAGGGGAAGATGTTCAGTCTACCCTGGCAGGATAGGATAAGGTGACGCCTGAAACACGAGACGGAAACGGGTTTTGTTAAAGTAACACGTGAATCACGTAACGAGCGATAGATACGAGGACTTAATACTAGAACTATCAGTCAAAATTACTGATTGATTATTCGAAATGACTTTGAAAATAGTTTCATTTGAATACTATAACGAGTGTCTGAAGAAACTGGAAATAATCTATTGTTAGAATTTTTATGGGAATTGCATATTAATCGTATCGAATGCTCGGTAGTTCTAGTGTAAATTAACAGTCAAAATGGCTGATTTATATTCTTTTGTTTAGCAATTATTGATACCTTCGAAGCATTGAATATTCGAAATGACTTTGAAAATAGTTTCATTTGAGTACTATAATGAATATTTGAAGAAACTGAAACTAATCTATTGTTAGAATTTGTATGGGAATTGCATATTAATCGTATCGAATGCTCGGTAGTTCCGGTGTCAATTAACAGTCAAAATGATTTAAAGCGACAGAATCCCGCGTTTCCACGGGGCCGGCGCCCAACGCGTCAACGAAGCGTTAATCCGAAGATCGCATGGTACCTCATAAGATAGTTGACCGTGCCGTTGCGGTATATCCGCAGGGCGAAGTGCACCGGTATCAGGGGGTCCTTGAAGTCCCCGTGCATTATGAAGTACGTGTCCGGCAGCCAGATGTCGTCGTAATGGTGGATCGCGTTCAAGTACTCGTACTGCGAGCGGTTGCTGTAACGCAGCCGCGGGTCGTACCACTGTTGCTGCAGCAGGAACTCCACCTCGTATTTCTGCGAACGCAACGGTCGTGTAGGGAGCGCGGGAACGTTCGCGGGATGGTTATGCGGGCGAAAACGTTAATGAAAAGGTTCGGTTACCAAGCTGGACTCGTCCGGGGACGCCAGACTTAGCAACAGCACGCTCACGTTCACGGTCAAGGTTCCTGCAACAGAATCGCGCGGTTCAGGCGCTGGCCTTCGGACCGGCGACGTACGACGAGCAGGCTCGCGCGAGGACGGGTCACGCTAGTCTCCTCCGACCGGCGGGATCCTCTGTCCGGGTGGATCGGTCGGCGTCCGTTAGCGTGGCCCCGTCCCGTTCGCCTCGGCCGATCGCGAGATCGGCCCGGCGAAGCGCCGAGCAAACGTGTCCTTCTCTCATCTACGTTTGCGCAAGCCGATGCCGTTACCGCGGAAGCGTCGTTAGCGTCATGCTGTGCACATGCTGCAGTCCGACAACAGTCGTGGCCTGTGGATCGAGCGTGGATCCGGCGCTCGGGACTCGGCAGCGGCGATCGAAGCTCTCTGTCTTCGAGTCGATTCGTTCCGGCGGTGGGACCGGAAGGGGACCGCAGGGGGATCTTAAGGGAACCGGAAGGGGACCGGAAGGGGCCGAAGAGTCTCGACGCGAGGCGGCCGCGACCGAGTCCCGATCGCCGCGCTCGATCGCCAACGCATTCCACTACACAGAGAGACACGGGTAAATCGAGACACAGCGTCCGGTACGCTGGAGTGTACGGTAACAAGTGGTTGGAGGATGGGCCGGGATGGGGGGTGAGAGATCCGCGT